GTTTCCCCCTGGGGAGGGGGTAAACTTTACTATAGTTTATATAGGGAAATCACATTTTGGACCAACATTTGTTTAATTTCCATTGGAAGTAATTCAATTTGGGTTAGCATTATCAGTATTAGGTAGCAGTTTGATAGTATGCTCCTATGAGCCCTGACTGACCCCCAGGGGCTGATGGGTGGTGCCAAAAAGGGTTGAATTGACTGAAATTTCAAAAATCTTCTTCTCAAGACCGTGATATGGTAGAATCAAATACTCTTCATAGATGGAAGGGCCTCTTGTTTGTTGCTTATAGGCGACATTCGCCTTGTGAATGGGTCGACGCCGCTGGAGGGCCGACTGGAGGTGTACAGGGACGGCGCATGGGGAACTGTATGTGACGATACGTGGGACTACGTTCCCGAGAACGCACAGGTCGTATGTCGTCAGCTAGGATACAGGTAATGTTTACTTACCTTAATTGAATGTGACAGTTCTTCTCAAGAAATAAACGTTCTAAACTGTTCTTTTCGTAGTGTTAGCACCGGGTAATGAATGAAACGACAATCCTGTTGCCTTTCCAAAGGGACAAACGGCAGAAGTATCGATAAGATATATGATTTCAAATATCAAAAAGTATAAGTAAATGGTGTTTATCAATAGGATATCAAAGTAGTTGTATTTTTTTCTATTATAAAAAATACATAGACAAAACCATATTGTATAGTACATGTTATTAAATATATCACATAACGGTTAAATAACCAAAATCAAAATAAATATTATGTACACGTATCGGAAGTGGGATCCTTGGATATTTCGGTGTGGTCAAACTAAACACAACTTCTCTGATTGCCAGGGGAGGGGAAGCACGCACCAATGTGGGGTGGTCGCCTTACGGAGCCGGAAGTGGCTCGATATACCGTTTCGGATGTGGAGGGAGGGAGAATCGTCTAGTCGACTGTGACCTCGTCAGAGGTGGTGGGTGTGCCCATCATGAGGATGTGGGGGTCCGTTGTGATCCCCAGACTGATGGTAAGTAGGCATTTGTTTCGCAGTTTCATTTTCTCTAGACTTATTTTTGGGATGATCTTTATAACGTCTGTTAAAGTCTGACAAGAACAGAATTTTGTGAAAAGAAACTGGACACACGTTTTTAAAGTTGTATACGATATATATATATATGTGAAACAGGAGATGGAAAAATACACGGCCAGACCGGGGTTCGCACCCGGGACCCTCCGAAAATTAAACTACCTGGTCGCCGGCGATCGACCCAGCCTAGTTCCGCTACAATGTAAACTACCTTTGATATATCACGTACAGGTACTAAACGGATGGTGGACGGACCAACTGAGTTTGAGGGTCGGCTGGAGATCTGGAGCGGAATACGGTGGGGGAGCGTGTGTAATATTGGTTGGCACCCCGACAACGCCCAGGTGGTCTGTAGGGAACTGGCTTACTCGTAAGCATCGTCAAGTGTTCTCGATTAGTCGAATTCTAAATAATACCCTCGCATGCATCGTGGATTGGACCTGTCATACTCTTGCATTATCTAACTTAAACTCATAAAATTGCTTTGTCGAAGCTGCTGCACACCCTAGCATGGTCATAGACTATCCTATACCCTCACATGGTCAAACATTACCTCATACTCTCGAATAGACAAACACTATATCCTATACCCTTGCATGGTCAAACACTATCTAATACCCTCGCGTGGTCAAACACTACCCTATACCCTCGCATGGTCAAACACTACCCCATACTCTCGCATAGTCAAACACTTTCTATACCCACGCATGGTGAAACACTACCCTATACCCTCGCATGGTCAAACACTATCCTATACCCTCGCATGGAAAAACACTACCCTATACCCTCGCATGGCCAAACACTTCATATACCCTCGCATGGTCAAACACTTCCTATACCCTCGCATGGTCAAACACTACCGCATAAGCTCGCACGGTGAAACACTTCCTATACCCTCGCATGGTGAAACGCTTCCTATACCCTCGCATGGTCAAACACTTCCTATACCCTCGCATGGTCAAACCCTTCCTATACCCTCGCATGGTCAAACACTACCCTATACTCTCGCATGGCCAAACACCTCCTATACCCTCGCATGGTCAAACACTTCCTATCCCCTCGCATGGTCAAACAATTCCTTTACCCTCGCATGGTCAAACACTTCCTATACCCTCGCATGTTCAAACAATTCCTATACCCTCGCATGGTCAAACACTTCCTATACCCTTGCATGGTCAAACACTTCCTATACCCTCGCATGGTCGAACACTTCCTATACCCTCGCATGGTCAAACACTCCCCTATACCCTCGCATGGCCAAACACTTCATATGCCCTCGCATGGTCAAACACTTCCTATACCCTCGCATGGTCGAACACTTCCTATACCCTCGCATGGTCAAACACTTCATATACCCTCGCATGGTCAAACACTACCCTATACTCTCGCATGGCCAAACACCTCCTATACCCTCGCATGGTCAAACACTACCCTATACTCTCGCATGGCAAAACACTTCATATACCCTCGCATGGACAAACACTTCATATACCCTCGCATGGTCAAACACTACCCTATACTCTCGCATGGCCAAACACTTCCTATTCCCTCGCATGGTCAAACACTACCCTATACCCTCGCATGGTCAAACACTTCCTATACTCTCGCATGGTCAAACACTACCCTATACTCTCGCATGGCCAAACACTTCATATACCCTCGCATGGTTAAACACTTCCTATACCCTCGCATGGTCAAACACTTCATATTATACCCTCGCATGGTCAAACACTTCCTATACCCTTGCATGGTCAAACACTTCCTATACCCTCGCATGGCCAAACACTTCATATACCCCCGCATGGTCAAACACTTCCTATACCCTCGCATGGCCAAACACTTCATATACCCTCGCATGGACAAACACTTCATATACCCTCGCATGGTCAAACACTTCCTATGCCCTCGCATGGTCAAACACTACCGCATAAGCTCGCACGGTGAAACACGTCCTATACCCTCGCATGGTGAAACGCTTCCTATACCCTCGCATGGTCAAACACCTCCTATACCCTCGCATGGTCAAACACTACCCTATACTCTCGCATGGCAAAACACTTCATATACCCTCGCATGGTCAAACACTACCCTATACCCTCGCATGGTCAAACACTTCCTATACTCTCGCATGGTCAAACACTACCCTATACTCTCGCATGGCCAAACACTTCATATACCCTCGCATGGTTAAACACTTCCTATACCCTCGCATGGTCAAACACTACCGCATAACCTCGCACGGTGAAACACTTCCTATACCCTCGCATGGTGAAACGCTTCCTATACCCTCACATGGTCAAACACTTCCTATACCCTCGCATGGTCAAACACTACCGCATAAGCTCGCACGGTGAAACACGTCCTATACCCTCGCATGGTGAAACGCTTCCTATACTCTCGCATGGTCAAACACTTCCTATACCCTCGCATGGCCAAACACTACCGTATAAGCTCGCACGGTGAAACACTTCCTATACCCTCGCATGGCGAAACGCTTCCTATACCCTCGCATGGTCAAACACTTCCTATACCCTCGCATGGTGAAACACTACCCTATACCCTCGCATGGCCAAACACTTCCTATACCCTCGCATGGTCAAACACTTCCTATACCCTCGCATGGTCAAACACTTCCTATACCCTCGCATGGTCAAACACTTCCTATACCCTCGCATGCATGTCAAACACTACCGTTTAAGCTCGCACGGTGAAACACTTCCTATACCCTCGCATGGTGAAACACTTCCTATACCCGCGCATGGTCAAACACTTCCTATACCCTCGCATGGCCAAACACTTCCTATACCCTCGCATGATGAAACACTACCCTATACCCTCGCATGGTCAAACACTTCCTATACCCTCGCATGGTCAATCACTACCGTATAAGCTCGCACGGTCAAATACTATCCTATACCCTCGCATTGCGAAACAATTCCTATACCCTCGCATGGTGAAGCACTTTCTATACTCTCGCATGGTCAAATACTTCCTATACCCTCGCATGGAGAAACACTATCCTATACCCTCGCATGGTCAAACACTTCCTATACCCTCGCATGGCCAAACACTTCCTATACCCTCGCATGATGAAACACTACCCTATACCCTCACATGGTCAAACACTTCCTATACCCTCGCATGGTCAAACTCTTCCTATACCCTCGCATGGTCAAACACTACCATATACCCTAGCATGGTCAAACACTTCCTATTCCCTCGCATGGCCAAACCCTTCCTATACCCCCGCATGGTCAAACACTTCCTATACCCTCGCATGGGCAAACACTACCATATACTCTCGCATGGCCAAACACTTCCTATACCCTCGCATGATGAAACACTACCCTATACCCTCACATGGTCAAACACTTCCTATACCCTCGCATGGTCAAACCCTTCCTATACCCTCGCATGGTCAAACACTACCATATACCCTAGCATGGTCAAACACTTCCTATTCCCTCGCATGGTCAAACACTTCCTATACCCGCGCATGGTCAAACACTTCCTATACCCTCGCATGGGCAAACACTACCATATACTCTCGCATGGCCAAACACTTCCTATACCCTCGCATGATGAAACACTACCCTATACCCTCACATGGTCAAACACTTCCTATACCCTCGCATGGTCAAACCCTTCCTATACCCTCGCATGGTCAAACACTACCATATACTCTCTCATGGCCAAACACTTCCTATACCCTCGCATGGTCAAACGCTACCATATAACCTCGCATGGTCAAACGCTTCTTATACCCTCGCATGGTCAAACACTTCCTATTCCCTCGCATGGTCAATCACTACCGTATAAGCTCGCACGGTCAAATACTATCCTATACCCTCGCATTGCCAAACAATTCCTATACCCTCGCATGGTGAAGCACTTTCTATACTCTCGCATGGTCAAACACTTCCTATACCCTCGCATGGTCAAACTCTTCCTATACCCTCGCATGGTCAAACACTACCATATACCCTAGCATGGTCAAACACTTCCTATTCCCTCGCATGGTCAAACACTACCGTATAAGCTCGCACGGTGAAACACTTTCAATACCCTCGCATGGTCAAACACTTCCTGTTCTCTCGCATGGCCAAACACTTCATATACCCTCGCATGGTCAAACACTACCCTATACCCTCGCATGGCCAAACACTTCCTATACCCTCGCATGGTCAAACACTACCGAATAAGCTCGCACGGTCAAACACTATCCTATACCCTCCCATTGCGAAACAATTCCTATACCCTCGCATGGTGAAACACTTTCTATACTCTCGCATGCTCAAATCCTTCCTATACCCTCGCATGGTGAAACACTATCCTATACCCTCGCATGGTCAAACACTTCCTATACCCTCGTATGGTCAAACACGTCCTATACCAAGCCTCCATACTCCAGGGGGGTAATGCTCACTTACGTTCTCTGCAGAGGGCGAAAGTGAGCGTAACCCCAGGAGTATCGAGGATGCCATATACCCTCGCATGGTCAAAAACTACTCCATACCCTCGCATGGTCAAAAACTACTCCATACCCTCGCATGATCGAAGCTGTTATATAACTTCGCATGGTATCTACACCTATATGACGGAGACACTAGTTTCGTGATTTTTCGTGGTTTTAGGCCGTATTGATATGATCTATATGGGTTTGGATACGCACTACTGGCATGTACTTTTCGTTAGGGCGATGACAAAGGTTCTTGCTATTATAGAACCAATAAGTCCATCTAGGTTTTGAATAAAAATCAGATCACGAACACGGAACCAAACATTTGACCGAGTTTACTCTTAGAGAAAGGAACACGTTTTGATTGTTTGTGAGGTAGTTTGATGATCGGTGTTCCGTGCGTTGTAGGGGCGTTACATCTGTTGATGGAGAGACTGACTATGGACAGGGGCGTGGCCCCACATGGACGGACGACATCATCTGTAATGGGGATGAGGACGAGTTGGCGAACTGTAACTTCCAGTCTAATCCCGACAGAGATTGTTCCGGCGGTGACATTGTGGGAATACATTGTACGCCTTATGAGGATGGTACATGTTTGTTATGTATTCATGCGAAAACATGGGTCTACTTTAAAATGACGCATTCCCAGCTAACATTCATTAGCACAATGGCGCATTCCCAGCTAACGTTCATTAGCACAATGGCGCATTCCCAGCTAAGGTTCATTAGCACAATGGCGCATTCTCAGCTAACGTTCATTAGCACAATGGCGCATTCCCAGCTCACGTTCATTAGCACAATGGCGCATTCCCACCTAACGTTCATTAGCACAATGGCGCAATCCCAGCTAACGTTCATTAGCACAATGGCGGATTCCCAGCTAACGTTCATTAGCACAATGTCGCATTCCCAGCTAACGTTCATTAGCACAATGTCGCATTCCCAGCTAACGTTCATTAGCAAAATGGCGCATTCCCAGCTAACGTTCATTAGCACAATGGCGCATTCTCTTATAAGTATACAGACCGACTCTAACGTTTGTAGTATCATTATCAGGGTTACAGTCGTATTGTATACTCACGAAGTGGAATAAATAGAATGTAGATTTTGAATAATTCTAAAAGATATTTTTCTCTTTCTTGAACGTCTCTTCTCAAAAAAGTTTCGTTCTATCAACACTTTTTGACTTTTCGACCCTTTGCAATACCATATCTCATACCAAACTGAAAGAGTGCATTCGTTCTCTTATTATGAGAGCTTTAAATTCTGTTCAAGAAAGGCGAACGTCGATATAAATTGTTATGGGTCAGATTTTGTGAAAAAAACATAACAAAAGCCAAAATGAAATATAAACTGAAGACAAAATCGTGAGAAAGATTGAGCTTCTGGTGGACAATACGTGTGTAAGTGTTTGGTGGGAAGGTTTTCCAGCTTATGGGAACACAGTGGCGTAGCAAATCGCTGGGAAAAAATCTACTAGGCCCTAGAAGCAATCTCCCGTGTTCTGGGAACTCCTTCATTAACAAATAAAAGTATTACTTGTTAATTATAGGCACTTAAACGATTATCTCAGGATAACACGCTATAATATGTTCCGTTGGACTGAAATTTTCAAGAAGATTTTTTTAATTTCTTTCCCTTTTTTATGATTGATACGGACGGTCGATATTAATGATAAAAAAGAAATTAATAACAATACATGATTTGAAATTTCAGTCTATGCTTAAGCATACAAGCATACATGTATGCTACGCCACTGAAACAAATAATTCCATATGAAGCTTAATTTTAAAGAGCTTATCAAGACCACAGGGACACGAGAATTTGTTAAAGCAATATTTTTGTCTAAAGTTTTAAAGTAATTGTACATGTTTTAGGGGTTTAATGACAATGACAATGTCACCCTAATGCTGCATTAAGACATATGTACTGTAAACATGTGTTGTGTTACGAAAGCTATAATATACGTACATGTCTGCTGTGTTAGGACAGGTACGCCTGGTGGGTGGACCGTCTGAGTTGGAGGGACGACTAGAGGTGTATCACAATGGCCAGTGGGGAGTCGTCTGTAACCGCAAAGTGGACGAGGACATTGCCACTGTCGTCTGTAGACAATTGGGCTTCAGGTAACATGTCATGTGACTAGCACTGTCGTATGTAGACAACTGGGCTTCCGGTAACATATCACGTGACTAGCAGTGTCTGGGCTTCAGGTAACCTGTAGACAAATGGCTTCAGGTAACCTATCACGTGACTAGCACTGTCGTATGTAGACAACTGGCTTCAGGTAACGTATCACATAACTAGTGCTGTCGTCTGTAGACAAATGACCTTAGGTAACCTATCACGTGACTAGCACTGTCGTATGTAGACAACTGACTTCAGGTAGCGTTTCACATAACTAGTGCTGTCATCTGTAGACAACTGGCTTCAGGTAACGTTACAAATGACTAGTGCTGTCGTCTGTAGACAACTGGGCTTCAGGTAACGTATCACATGACTAGTGCTGTCGTCTGTAGACAACTGGGCTTCAGGTAACATATTACGTGACTAGCACTATCACCTGTAGACATGTCTGCTTCAGGTCACACATCATGATCATGTGACCAAAGTGAAGTGACACACTAGCTTTAGCTTAATATAGCTTAATAAATGATGGGGATAACAGTTTCCTGATGATAATTTTAACTTGTTTCTGAAATTTTGCATATACAGTATGATAATTTCTATACAAATAAGGCTAACAAGGTAAGATTCCTGCTTGTGGTTAATTTACTTTCTTCATAAGAGATATTAGTAACCTGTATCGAAATTCCACAACATTCTTTCAGGGATACATTTTAATGCCAAATCTCACCATATATTTGAAGTATCATATCCATCAATAATCTATATTTACTTATGTAACCTTTTGTAGTGGGGGTTCCCATGCCAGAGCTCATGCCTTTGGATACGGACATAATCCCGTCTGGATGGATAATGTGAGATGCACAGGCAACGAGAGGAAGCTTACTCGGTGTAGACTGTCAGAATTTGTAGAGTTGGGAGACGAGATCTGCTTCAGTTGGGAGGGAATGGGTGTCAGATGTGATCCCTAAATTCCACTACCAGTATAAGTTTACAATCCATAGTTAATGTGTTTTCGTCTTCAATCCATTGAGTCAATGTGTGTCTATCTGTAATCCACGGAGTCAATGTGACTCTGTCTATACTCCATTGAGTCAATGTTTCTATAATCCTTTGAGTCAATGTTTCTTTAATCCATTGCATCAATGTGTTTCTGTCTGTAATCCACGGAGTCAATGTGACTCTCTCTACAATCCATGGAGTCAATGTGACTCTGTCTATACTCCATTGAGTCAATGTTTCTATAATCCATTGAGTCAATGTTTCTATAACCCATTGCATCAATGTGTGTCTCTCTACAATCCATGGAGTCAATGTGACTCTGTCTATACTCCATTGAGTCAATGTTTCTATAATCCATTGAGTCAATGTTTCTATAATCCATTGCATCAATGTGTTTCTGTCTGTAATCCAGGGAGTTCATGTGTTTCTGTCTGTAATCCACTGAGTCAATGTGACTCTCTCTATAATCCATGGAGTCAATGTGACTCTCTGTCTATACTCCATTGAGTCAATGTTTCTATAATCCATTGAGTCAATGTTTCTATAATCCATTGCATCAATGTGTTTCTGTCTGTAATCCAGGGAGTCAATGTGTTTCTGTCTGTAATCTACGGAGTCAATGATCCATTGAGTCAATGTTTCTGAGTCAATGTGACTCTGTCTATACTCCATTGAGTCAATGTTTCTATAATCCATTGAGTCAATGTTTCTATAATCCATTGCATCAATGTGTTTCTGTCTGTAATCCAGGGAGTCCATGTGTTTCTGTCTGTAATCCACGGAGTCAATGTGACTCTCTCTACAATCCATGGAGTCAATATGTCTCTGTCTATAATCCATTGAGTCAATCTGTCTCTGTCTTTAATCTAATGAGTGGATGCTTTTGAGGTATTTTCTCCAGTATATATTGTATTCATTTTTTTATCATGTTCACAAAACAAAGTAAATCAAAAGCTGACTTTATCAAATACTTGTTCTTTTAATGTTTACATTCAACAGAAATAAATGTCATAGCAGGGACTCAAACAGGTTTATATTGAGAAACACAGGAAATGATAAAAATTATAAACAAAATTGTGATCACAGTAAGCCCTCATTCACCTACACGTTACTACTGTAGTAGTATAGGCCTAAAACTGACAATTATTTTAATCTTAATGGAGCGCCACTATTCCGTCTTTGCGTATTGCAGAGTTATCTTCTCTTGAGAGCAGGTATTGATTGTTACGTCATTTGTTTGTGATAGTAACGTAATGAATTTTTGAGAAAACAACGTAATTTTCTCACATGAACCAATGACGTAACAATCAATACCTGTTCTCAAGAGAAGATAACTCTGCAATACGCAAAGACGGAATATAGAATATCAGATCAGTTCAACGGGATCGAGACTTGAAGTTCATGCCAAGGATGTTCTGTCCCTGAAATGAAAATTTAAAACACTTACATTTCAAAATATCACTGTGGGCGATGAGAAAATGTTCTAGGTGATTCACAGATTACAATGTGGGCCAGCATCCTAAGTGAAATAGTTTGTGTGGTTATGACCTTAGTCCGATATGAGAATAATTTCAACTTCACTTGCATGTTGTACAAATGATAAAAAAATAGCATATAACTTAGCATAAAATAAAGGTATATGATCTGGCCCTGAGATCATGAAACCATCACAAGTCTAAACTTGTCTAAGCTTTGACTTAACCAATCACAAATAACATTATAACATCATGAAAAGTGACGTCAAACCTGACTGGCTAAGCAAAAATTAAGTCCAACATTGTTTCATGACTCCAGGGCCTGAATTTATGTCTGCGTCTGTCACATGACAGAGAAAACCAATACACCAACCAGAACTTCTGGCAACATGCATGTTATCACTTTGGTAATCAAAGTCTTAAACCTGCCAGTAAGGAAGTGCATAATACATAAGGATGAAATTTATACATTTTTAGGGAAGTTATTGAAGAGAAACCAATAAACCAATTGACATTGAGTACACTCGTTAATTATACATATATATGCTCATAATGCTTCCAGCCTGCACAGAAAAGTTGTTTTGTTGTTTTTGGATGATTTAGACAATGGTTTTGTGCTAATTCTGTCTTGTATATTCAAATTTCTTAGGCTATAGGACAAGCTAGTAAATCCTTAAATATTGTAATGGTGCCAGCAGGGGGATACTCACAATTAAGCCCCTTCCCTACTTTGGGTTAATCATTTTTCACTAGGGGTGGGGGCTTATTTGCAGATAAATACAATACATAACAAAGACAATCCAACTTAACTTGAGACTGGCCGATATGTATGTTCTTATCGAATTTGGTTGAAATAAAGCCATTATTGGGGAGCAGTTACAGAGAAATAAAGAGTGACACTGCCATTCATAGTTTTCATGATTAATTTGAAAACAATTAAAAATGGTTATTATTTATTAACCATTTTTTGATAAAGACCTATAAGACCGACTGATAAGCTGTGCCCTATAAAACACCTTACCATCTTAAACAGGCCTGTCAGGCCCTCCGAGGTCATACCAGACACCTTCATAGCCTGTAAGACAAAGTTATAGATTAATCTCATTGACCAACACTGAAATATCAACCTCAGAGATGACACCAGGGCTATCATAAAGTGACTATATTTTATAACATTTTACCGCTGAAAAAATCAGGTTTATAATGAAAATAGTTTTTTTTTTCTACAATGAGAACACTTTTTGTGATGAATACACTAAAACGACCAATCAGTTCTGGGCGAGTGAAAAATGACGAACAACGGGTGCTGTCAATTGTGATGTCATTGACGCCCCAATGTTTTTCATGATGTAAAGTCACAATTCAGCATTACTTGTCTTAAATGTTTTCAGGGGATAGATTATCTGTTCATGGAAGTTGATGACTTTATATAAGACAAAATGTAATAAACAGAATTTCCTCCACGTATTCATGACATATCAGAATTGACTACTTTTCCAGGTGGTACATAGATGAAGTATCTGAAGGACGAGGACATTGCCACAATATGGCAATACATTATGTACTAGATTAATTGGAATAAAGATAATTTTGTACCAAGTATCACTAGATTGTTAGAAAGTGATCGTCACTGGAAAAACTTGTGTACATGATCTTTTTAAAAAGTTATGTGTATAGGGTCTAGCCAAAAGAATTACACTTTTTCATCAAGTAACAACATGAGGCCCAAAGGGCCTGCCTCGCTCACCTGGTATTAGTCTTATACTTGTAACCTTAAAAGTGTACCAAGGTCAAACATATTGAAATAGATAAAATAAAGCTACAGGCTCAATATCATAACCTATACCACTTGTGGTTATTCAAAATAATGTTAAAAGATTTAAACACATTTGACCTGTGATCTTGAATATCGGTAAAGTTCATTAATTGGTATAAACTTGGTAGATCTTCATCTGAGCATGCAACTTGCCAAATATCATCACCTTAGGCCTTACAGTTATCCAGAAGAAGTTGCTTGAAATGTTTTTAGCACATTTGATCCTTATACATATACCTTGAATACAGGTGAAGGTCACTCATTTGAACAAATTTAATAACCCTTCTTCTTAACACGCTGTTGGCAAAAGAAATCATTACCCTAGGCCTTTTAGTTATTAAGAAAAAGCCGTAAAGTAAAAAGCCAACAACGGACAAAGGAGAAAGATGGACAACCCACCACGGCATAAGTTAGGTAAGCTAATAATAGTACACTCACCTTTGTGGCACAATCTCCCACTGAGACTAAGTTATCAATTCTGTTGTCAAGGAACTCCCATGTGTCCTGTAGATCAACTGATTTGTCCTGTATCATGTAAATCTCTGTTGATTTGTAAACGCCAGCTAGACTCACACGCTTGGTGTACCAGTTAAACTAGAAATATAATACATACACACATCAGCTAGACCCATACACTAGGTGCACCAGTTAAACTAGAAATATAATACATATACATATCAGCTAGACCCATACACTAGGTGTACCATTTAAACTAGAAATATAATACATACACACATCAGCTAGTCCTACACACTAGGTGTACCAGTTAAACTAGAAATATAATACAAACACACATCAGCTAGACCCATACACTAGGTGTACCCGTTAAACTAGAGGTATAATACATATACACATCAGCTAGACCCATACGCTAGGTGTACCAGTTAAACTAGAAATATAATACATAAACATATCAGCTAGACCCATACACTAGGTGTACCATTTAAACTAGAAATATAATACATACACACATCAGCTAGACCCATATGCTTGTAGATCAACTGATTTGTCCTGTATCATGTAAATCTCTGTTGATTTGTAAACGCCAGCTAGACTCACACGCTTGGTGTACCAGTTAAACTAGAAATATAATACATAAACATATCAGCTAGACCCACACGCTAGGTGTACCAGTTAAACTAGAGATATAATACATACACACATCAGCTAGCCCCATACACTAGGTGTACCAGTTAAACTAGAGATATAATACATATACACATCAGCTAGACCCATACGCTAGGTGTACCAGTTAAACTAGAAATATAATACATATACATATCATCTAGACCCATACACTAGGTGTACTAGTTAAACTAGAAATATAATACATACACACATCAGCTAGACCCATACACTAGGTGTACCAGTTAAACTAGAGATATAATACATATACACATCAGCTAGACCCATACACTAGGTGTACCAGTTAAACTAGAAATATAATACATATACACATCAGCTAGACCCATACACTAGGTGTACCAGTTAAACTAGAAATATAATACATATACACATCAGCTAGACCCATACACTAGGTGTACCAGTTAAACTAGAAATATAATACATATACACATCAGCTAGACCCATACACTAGGTGTACCAGTTAAACTAGAAATATAATACATATACACATCAGCTAGACCCATACACTAGGTGTACCAGTTAAACTAGAAATATAATACATATACACATCAGCTAGACCCATACACTAGGTGTACCAGTTAAACTAGAGATATAATACATATACACATCAGCTAGACCCATACACTAGGTGTACCAGTTAAACTAGAAATATAATACATATACACATCAGCTAGACCCATACACTAGGTGTACCAGTTAAACTAGAGATATAATACATATACACATCAGCTAGACCCATACACTAGGTGTACCAGTTAAACTAGAAATATAATACATATACACATCAGCTAGACCCATACACTAGGTGTACCAGTTAAACTAGAGATATAATACATATACACATCAGCTAGACCCATACACTAGGTGTACCAGTTAAACTAGAAATATAATACATATACACATCAGCTAGACCCATACACTAGGTGTACCAGTTAAACTAGAGATATAATACATATACACATCAGCTAGACCCATACACTAGGTGTACCAGTTAAACTAGAAATATAATACATATACACATCAGCTAGACCCATACACTAGGTGTACCAGTTAAACTAGAGATATAATACATATACACATCAGCTAGACCCATACACTAGGTGTACCAGTTAAACTAGAAATATAATACATATACACATCAGCTAGACCCATACACTAGGTGTACCAGTTAAACTAGAGATATAATACATATACACATCAGCTAGACCCATACACTAGGTGTACCAGTTAAACTAGAAATATAATACATACACACATCAGCTAGACCCATACACTAGGTGTACCAGTTAAACTAGAGATATAATACATATACACATCAGCTAGACCCATACACTAGGTGTACCAGTTAAACTAGAAATATAATACATACACACATCAGCTAGACCCATACACTAGGTGTACCAGTTAAACTAGAGATATAATACATATACACATCAGCTAGACCCATACACTAGGTGTACCAGTTAAACTAGAAATATAATACATACACACATCAGCTAGACCCATACACTAGGTGTACCAGTTAAACTAGAGATATAATACATATACACATCAGCTAGACCCATACACTAGGTGTACCAGTTAAACTAGAAATATAATACATACACACATCAGCTAGACCCATACACTAGGTGTACCAGTTAAACTAGAGATATAATACATATACACATCAGCTAGACCCATACACTAGGTGTACCAGTTAAACTAGAAATATAATACATACACACATCAGCTAGACCCATACACTAGGTGTACCAGTTAAACTAGAGATATAATACATATACACATCAGCTAGACCCATACACTAGGTGTACCAGTTAAACTAGAAATATAATACATACACACATCAGCTAGACCCATACACTAGGTGTACCAGTTAAACTAGAGATATAATACATATACACATCAGCTAGACCCATACACTAGGTGTACCAGTTAAACTAGAAATATAATACATACACACATCAGCTAGACCCATACACTAGGTGTACCAGTTAAACTAGAGATATAATACATATACACATCAGCTAGACCCATACACTAGGTGTACCAGTTAAACTAGAAATATAATACATACACACATCAGCTAGACCCATACACTAGGTGTACCAGTTAAACTAGAGATATAATACATATACACATCAGCTAGACCCATACACTAGGTGTACCAGTTAAACTAGAAATATAATACATACACACATCAGCTAGACCCATACACTAGGTGTACCAGTTAAACTAGAGATATAATACATATACACATCAGCTAGACCCATACACTAGGTGTACCAGTTAAACTAGAAATATAATACATACACACATCAGCTAGACCCATACACTAGGTGTACCAGTTAAACTAGAGATATAATACATATACACATCAGCTAGACCCATACACTAGGTGTACCAGTTAAACTAGAAATATAATACATACACACATCAGCTAGACCCATACACTAGGTGTACCAGTTAAACTAGAGATATAATACATATACACATCAGCTAGACCCATACACTAGGTGTACCAGTTAAACTAGAAATATAATACATACACACATCAGCTAGACCCATACACTAGGTGTACCAGTTAAACTAGAGATATAATACATATACACATCAGCTAGACCCATACACTAGGTGTACCAGTTAAACTAGAAATATAATACATACACACATCAGCTAGACCCATACACTAGGTGTACCAGTTAAACTAGAGATATAATACATATACACATCAGCTAGACCCATACACTAGGTGTACCAGTTAAACTAGAAATATAATACATACACACATCAGCTAGACCCATACACTAGGTGTACCAGTTAAACTAGAGATATAATACATATACACATCAGCTAGACCCATACACTAGGTGTACCAGTTAAACTAGAAATATAATACATACACACATCAGCTAGACCCATACACTAGGTGTACCAGTTAAACTAGAGATATAATACATATACACATCAGCTAGACCCATACACTAGGTGTACCAGTTAAACTAGAAATATAATACATACACACATCAGCTAGACCCATACACTAGGTGTACCAGTTAAACTAGAGATATAATACATATACACATCAGCTAGACCCATACACTAGGTGTACCAGTTAAACTAGAAATATAATACATACACACATCAGCTAGACCCATACACTAGGTGTACCAGTTAAACTAGAGATATAATACATATACACATCAGCTAGACCCATACACTAGGTGTACCAGTTAAACTAGAAATATAATACATACACACATCAGCTAGACCCATACACTAGGTGTACCAGTTAAACTAGAGATATAATACATATACACATCAGCTAGACCCATACACTAGGTGTACCAGTTAAACTAGAAATATAATACATACACACATCAGCTAGACCCATACACTAGGTGTACCAGTTAAACTAGAGATATAATACATATACACATCAGCTAGACCCATACACTAGGTGTACCAGTTAAACTAGAAATATAATACATACACACATCAGCTAGACCCATACACTAGGTGTACCAGTTAAACTAGAGATATAATACATATACACATCAGCTAGACCCATACACTAGGTGTACCAGTTAAACTAGAAATATAATACATACACACATCAGCTAGACCCATACACTAGGTGTACCAGTTAAACTAGAGATATAATACATATACACATCAGCTAGACCCATACACTAGGTGTACCAGTTAAACTAGAAATATAATACATACACACATCAGCTAGACCCATACACTAGGTGTACCAGTTAAACTAGAGATATAATACATATACACATCAGCTAGACCCATACACTAGGTGTACCAGTTAAACTAGAAATATAATACATACACACATCAGCTAGACCCACACGCTAGGTGTACCAGTTAAACTAGAAATATAATATCTAATTAGATACATCATTTCACAAACAGAAGTTCATGTCCAATTAGTCACTGACAATAAATTCATGAAACATGAGATGACAGGCAAATACAAAGGTAACTGAGAAACCTACAAACAATCAACTCTGAGTTTGGTAAACTCTAAAGTAGGACTTACATCATATGACCTGTCTCCAGCATAGTACCAGATGTCATCCGTGAGTTGGAGCAGATTTTCCCAAGCGTACGGGATGTTCTCTGGTAAGGCCTGCAATGCCATAGCCTGAAACATGATGCTCACAAGTCTTTATACTTAGTTTCATCTCCAAATCCATTTCATAGTAACAGGTAAATGTACAGTTCGGTAAGGCCAAGGCATGGCAGTAAAGCTCTTTTTATACGACTGTCAAATTTGACGGTAGTATTATGGTATAGCGTTGTCCGTCCGTCCGGCGTAAACTTTGTTTGTCCGGCAATCTCCTCCTACATTTTTCGACCGATCTATTTGAAACTTGGTATACATTGTAATCATGATATGAAGTTGTCTTTCCCTTAAAAGAATT